AGGCTACTGCAAGGCTAACCCTCCAGGCAGTAACTGGACAAGGCACTTGCATAGGCCATGTGCCCCCTGGGCAGTCATGTCTCTGTAATGAAACCCCAAGAGTCCCCAGAGAGACAGTGTATCTGCTTCCCCCCGAAAATACATGGTGGGTCTGTTCCAGCAGCCTCACTCCGTGCATGCACTCCCAAGTCCTTAACTCCCTGAAAGAAGGCTTCTGCATATCCGTGCAGTTGATCCCCAAACTACCACATCATTTGGGAGAAGAAATACTTAACAGGTTAGGCTCTGCTAACCCCCGAGGTAAAAGAGAGCCTATTATAACCTTAACCCTAGCTGTGCTCTTAGGACTGGGGTTAGCGGGGGCAGGGACCGGAATATCCTCATTCGACATCCAGGACAAAAACTACGGAACCCTAAGGGCAGCCACTGACCTAGACATAGAAAAAATTGAAAATCACTTTCTCATTTACAGGAATCCCTTACTTCCTTGTCAGAAGTAGTGCTCCAAAACAGAAGGGATTAGACTTATTATTCATGCAGCAAGGAGGACTACGTGCGGCCCTAGGGGAAGAATGTTGCTTCTATGTTGATCACTTGGGAGTCGTAAAAGAATCTATGACCCTCATAAGGGAAGGGCTGCAGAAACGAAAGTCAGAAAGAGAGCAATCTCAGTCCTGGTACGAGTCTCTCTTCAACTGGTCTCCCTGGTTAACTACCCTCATCTCAGCCCCAGCCGGCCCCCTTGCCATCCTACTCCTGTTACTAACCTTCGGGCCCTGTATCATCAACAGGCTGGTCCAGTTTGTCAGAGACCGCGTGGGGGCCATCCAACTAATGGTCCTCTGTGCTCAACACAAGCCCCTAGTAACAGAAGAAAGCCAAATAGCAATGCAGTCGGCCCCATGAGTGGGCCTGTAAGCAACATGACAAGGAGGGATTGAAAGAGCAAACTGGGACCTCTCGCCCATTTTGTTCTGTGCCTTCCGTCTTGAGTAACTATATCCCTGACCTGGCCCAATTCCCGCTCAAACCATTCCCGGCAACCTGCGTGATGGGGCCCTGACTCTTCCCCAGCCAATTGGCTAGAGCCACGACCATCACCCCGCCAACTGCCCCTAGACCCCAATAAAACCTTTGTGCTTTTGAAACGTGCTCTCTCTCTGGCATCTCGCTGCTGCATTGGTGCAAGTAAGAGATTGAGCTCGAGCTAGCTCGAATAAAGGCTCTTTGCTTTTGCACCGAACTGGGCTCCCTGGGAGTCTTTGGGGATCATGAATTCCAGGCATAACAGAACGAGTTGTTTCTTTTTTTCATTAGCCTATTGCCCTCTAACTGAAAATCTGCAAATTTTCTTTGACCAGTTTGTGTTAATATTTTTCATGAGCTCAGGGTTTTTACATAAACACCCAGTAGTTTACTTTAAATAGGCTGCATTACCTAGGAATGTAGAATCATTTAAATGCTTCCTGAACAAAACTGTGGGTCTAAATCATGCCAGGGCCAGGTACCAGGGAACTACAGACCACTCCATAACCCAAAGCCCACTAGAATTGTTCAAACTAGCCAATCCTAAATTGTCTACTCCAGCCTTCCTTGCCTTTCTTGCAGAAAACACAGTAAAAGCTCTTGGCTCCTACTACTTCTCAATCAAAACCAGGTGTTCCTTCTGTGGCCTCATGTTGTATGCCGTTCCTCCCTTTTCTAGGGGAATTTTCAGTATCATTAAACTTCTCTGTCAATGTCATTGATTTATCAGTGTCATCACTCACCTTTATAAATTAAGACCTGGGCACAAACCAGCCTCCCTTGGCTGTTGTGGGTAAAATTCCAATATTTCCAGAATCTCTTGCCTGGCCTTAGTACATCTCCATATCAATAGGTGTTTCCAAGGGGTGGAGAGACGTAGTACATCTCCATAGCAATAGGTGATTACTTAGGGGAGTGAGGGCTTATCTGGACTGGAGATGTTGGGTGGGGCCTCTTTTTGCAGCCAGCTTGTGAGACACTGGTGAGCAGAAGTGGACGACTGCTTGTAAGCAATAAACAGGTTCCTCCCACTTTATTTCTCCCTTTGACTGGTTTCAGTTTCAAAAGTAATTTGCCCCAGCCTGGGAAAATATTTCCCCCCCTAGAGTTACAGTTGTATAGTATTACATCTCATTCCCCGACTTCTCAATACCTTTGCCTTCTCTCTTTTCCATTCTTCTTTCTTTACCACATTCTAACATTGTGTATAGTTCCAGGGTTCCCCCACCCCCACCCCGGCAATATTTCTTCCTCTTTCTTGAATACAGTGTAAGCTCCTTGGTGGCTAAAGTCTTTGTCTCTCATTTTCAAATTTGTTCCATGCTCTTAAGATAGTGCCTGAAAATCAGTAGATGTTCTTTGATTTTGGGGTAGACTGAATAAGTTTGATATTACAATATCCCTGCTCATCTTCACCATTCTGGCAACACTTTCTAAATTCTTTTTTTCCCCCTGGAAGCAGAGATTTAATGTTTTCAAGAATGAAAACAAATTACATTTTGGAGACTAAACCCTGCTGTGGTCAGAGTCCAGTGTATCTGTTTGCTCAGCTTTGCCCTCTCACTTCTCAAACTTCAGTGTCTCAAGTTTAAATTTCGCAGACATATCAACTATTTTTCCCCTGTCACAGATATGTTCCCCAGAGCAATTTTTGCATATATCTGTGAATAACTACAGAATTAATATTAATAACTTTCAGTAATGTAAACAATTCACAAGTTTTTTTTCCTCTTTCCCTTCTCCTTTCTTTCTCTTTCTTCCCTCCTCTTTCTTTCTTTCTACTTCTTCTCTCCCTCCTCCTTTTCTTCGTCTTTTTTGTTTACCATAAATATATCAACTCCATTCAGATGCTGTCCCAGCAAATAAATGAGACTGTGAAAATTGATAAAGGGAAACCTCACTAACATGGTGTCATGAGGGCTGCAGGAGGAGCACCCAAGGACCAGTTCTGGTTGATTGCAGACCCCATAGGAAGGAAGAGATAGACCCCTTAGGACTCATACCTTGGCTACTTCACCACTGTAAGATAAATTCTAGCCGAAATAAGCAGGTGAAGAGAGGCAACAAAGAGCCTGGTAGTTTATTTGAACACAATCCCCGGCCAAGACTTCCCAGTCTACAGAAATGGAGGCTGGGGAAGTCGCGCATAAGTAGGCAGGCAGCGGGTTTTTGAAGAAGGCAGGGGGAGGCAGAGCTTAGATATACAGCGGCGCGAGGATTGGCCAGCCTGAGGCACATTTTTCAGGTTGGGAGGGGGCAGCAGCCGGGGACTTTGGCACGTCATCAGTGCCCAATGTGCTCACTCCTCCTTCCGGTGCCTCCAGCCTTACAATCACCCAGGAGGAGAAGGGAATTTCAACTCCCTCCCCACAGCCAATGAGAGACTGCTACAGCTCAGCCAGTGAGCATCCGCCTCACAGGCACCTCTCAGTTTCCTCCAATTTTATTGCTTAGAACAGTCTCCCAACTCTCCCCCTTTCTCTATAAAAGAGCATCTTCTGCTTTGTTCTCCCATCTTGTCTGTGGTTTTGCCATAGGTTGCTTGTCTATAATTGCAATTCTTTGCTGTTCCCCAATAAACCTATTTAGCTGGTAAAATAACTGCTTGTTTATTTTTAAGGTTAGTAAGATCATGGTGTTCCAAATCTTTATTTCCATGCTCAGTTGTCATCTTTGCACATTTGCTGCCTCTGGACCTTGCCAGCCACTGACCTGCCACACGAAAGCATTTGGCATTTATAATGGTTCTTTATAGAGAAGCGATGTAGAGAAGCGGTGCATTTCTTAAGAGGAAGTAAATACAGCTCAGCTTTTGGGATTAAAAAAAAAAACATTTGGGTTAAATGGTGCTGCACCCCAGATTGGACAGCACTGCTATTACAGACAGGAAAGGTGTCTCCTTGGACCTCCCGTTTCAAAGTAGCCCAATAGCCCAAAACCCCTTCGCTGTTTTCCCCTCCATGGCCCTGTCAGGAGTCATTTCCACGGAAACCAGAGGGAAAACTCCAGTTGCTTGAGGGCACTCCTACGTCACTCCTTTCACTCCACAGCCCTGTCTAGGGACAATTCTCTCTTGCCCCGACCCAACTGAGGTTCAAAGAGCCGAAGTAAAGCTTCCGCCTACAGGTATGTAAAAAGTAAATATGAGTTAGCTATAAGTGCACTCTAAGTGACATTTGATACTATGTGTCTGTCCATTTGATTTTGTAGCTTTGGGGAATATCTGAAAGAACCTTTCTAAACATTTCCTGCACCCCTGCAGTGTTCACTGCTCTTTAAGAGGAGCGAAGGCCCGTCCAGCCCTGCGAGCCTCAAGGAACCACTGCCCAGCGCCCCCCGCGGTTCCATTTGGCCTTAGTCCCCGGGCAGAGGGCGCCCAATCGTCGCTAAGGCTGATTACTCGAAGGAACTACATTACCCAGAAACCTCTGCGTCCCACAGTGACGATAGCGCTCTTGGGGACGTTTCCGTAGGTGCGGAAGGCGTCTGGGCGGGAGTTCCGGTATCTTCCTCGGGGTAGACATCTTGTTGGCTGTTGGCGGAACCCTCCGAACACGGGCTCGGGAGCTCTGGTTCGCTTGAGAGGTGACCGAAGCGGGAAGGCGTGGGAGGAGACCCCGTCGCCGCTGCAGAGAGGTTTCCGGGTGGCAGCGCCACGAAGACGCCGCCGCCGCCGCCACCGCCTAGGGACCCGGGGCTCGTGACGGCTCAGTGGGGTCCGGACTGTGATGGCGGCGGCTGCCGTGACGGACCCGGCGTCGGTGGGTACTGCGGTCCTTGCCCCCGACGCGCCCCAGTCCTCATCTCCGAATCACAGAGCCCCAGTAAGAGGTTCCTGTTGTGGCCATTGCAGCCCAGGTTCCAGTGTGCTGGGCAGTAGGGTGTTTGGTGCAGTGGGTGGAGCTCCTGTTCCTAACGGCCGGTGGGATGAGACGCAGGGGAGTGTCACTAGCGGAGTGACGAGCACGAGCAAAGTGGGAGGTGCGACTGGGTTGGGAGCATTCGGGAAGCTGAGCTCCTGTCTTCAGAGAGCACAAAGTGTGAGTTGTATTTGTGCCTGGAAAGGCGGGGTGAGATCAGTACCTTCGGTGCGAGGACTCTGGGAGCTGTTGGAGGGACATGATTTGTTTAACACCGGAGAATATCCCGACCTTTACTCATGAGAAAGCAGACTAGGGTGGGATGATGGGGATGGAGGCAGCAGGATTCAGTAGTATTGTGGCGGTGGCTGTAGGCCCAGGGGTTGGGGGTGGAGAAGTCCTTTAATTCTGGAGAGAGTTTAAAGGTAGAGCCAACAGGATTCCCAGCTCTGTCAGGTATGGTTGGGAGTGAAGGGCCTTCCAATTTTTTCTCCCCACTGAGCATCTGAAAGAGTGGGAATGGGTAAGTTGAAGCAGGGAGCATTTTTCAGTGGGATCGGGGATTTGAAATAAGGACGTAGTAAATCTAAGGTGTCTCCAAGTGGAGGTGTCACATGGGCATCTGGACTGCAGGTCAGGAGCTCTGTGGAGGGAGGTGGGCCGGAGATCTCTGAGGGGTGAGACCTCAGTCAGGGCAAAGCCCGGCAATCAGATTTGGAAAGGGGAAAAGCATCAAGGCTGTTATTTTATATGGCCCCTGAGGTGAGAGATTGGGGAGGTTAGGGAAGGAGTGTGTGGATATGCTGAGATTCCCGCTAGAAAGGGGGAGTCTTGGCATTTGAAAGGGTCCTGGTTGTTCTTAGCAGGAGGAAGAGGGATGTAGGGCATAAGAAGTCAGGCAGGAGATGGAGAGCAAGATATGAGAGGTGCCCTGTGGACTCAGCAAAGGCACTGGCTGGGGACCGGAAAAATCAGCCAGGGGAGTGGAGCAGCCCGAGCTCAACCCAGGGTGCTGGTGTCTATTTCTGTAACTCCTCAGGTCAGGAGAGAGGATGAGCGTCTCTCATGAAAAGCCACAAGCAGCCTTTCCTTCAGTGGAGTGTGTGCCAGGTAGGCTGGTTCGCAGAAAAGACTAGTATATACTTCACAGGCAGGTACTTAAAAATTAACAATAAGTGGATTTGATGAGTTAAGTTAATACCATTGTTTATTGATTGATGTGCTTGCGTCTAAGTATTTGATTACAATTGGAAGTCTTAAATACCACATTTTCTTCAACGCTTAAGAACAAACTCTAAATTTAAAAAACCTAACACTTCATTTACACCAAAAATATTTACAAAAGTGTTAAGCTTCTGGACAGTAAAAACTAATTCAAAGGTACTTGACACATGCTCACACATCTGGTATAAACAGCAGTCCTAGTAGGTTTGCTATTACCCCCGCTTTACAGATGAGGACAGTGAGACACAGGTGTTTGCGCATGATCACATAGCTGGTAGGAGGCAGCGCTGAGGTCTCAGTATCTAAGGTTGAACAACCTGAAATCACCCTCCCAATGTCATAGGTTAGGGGGACAGTTCAGCCTGAGACCCCACTGTGATGACCTGCCACTCCCAGCGCCCTCTTCCTCTTCCCTCCAGGTTTCTGTGGTGTCAGAAGTGCTTATGACCCATGCATAGACGAGTACAGCCTGCGCAGGTCCTTGTTCAGCCGCCCCCTTCTCCCCATGACCTTGGCAGCCCAGTAAGGCAAAGGGTGGTGTCCAAGGAGTCTTCACCTACCCTTCTCCCTGCTGGTAGAATTTGGGGATGCTGGTGTCACTGAAGGCCTTTTGCCTTGAATTCTATTCTGGAATCAAATGGATGGGTTTCCGTTTCTAGGAGGCAGTAGGACTGTGTGGAACAAGTGTCCCAGGCAAGGAACCAGCATGTGCAAGTACACCGCCTGAGGCTGAGCTGGAGTGTTCAGGGACCCTCAGGTTTCCATTATGTCTACTGTGATCAGGGAGCAGGGGACAGAACCCAGTTCTGAAGGGGCAGCTTGTGGAACTGGGCTGCTCGAGTGGGGGGAGCCATGGAAGGTTTGGAGCAGAGGAAGGAATGATCTCACTCTGGTATTAACTGGCTTTCTCTGGCTGCACAGTGAAGAAAAGACTATAGAGTAAGGAAGGGCTGATTGCCAGTTAGACCAGAGTGGGGCGGCTGTGGAGGTGAGGTGCGGGTGCTGGGATTCTGGACTTTTTTTTTTTTTAAGTAGGACCAGCCAAGTTTTCTGATGTGGTTGATGAGAGAAGGGGAGGAGTCAAGTATGACCGTAAAGGTTTTGGCCCAAGAATGTGTAAGGATGGAAAAATCCTCAACTGAGATGGTGAAATTGGTGATGGGAGTAACTTTCAGAGGTCATGTCAGGAGTTACTAGGTGTTTGCCATGTTGAATCTACAATATTCCAAAGACGTCTGAGTGGGGGTTATCAAGTGGGCAGCTGGACACACAAGTTTGGAGTTCAGAGGATAGATTCAATTTGGAGACATCCACAAGGTGGCGGCCAGTGTGTGGATTAGGATAGAGCTACATCGTAGATTTAAAGATTCATTATGTCATAATCCAGCACCATTAGGGATCTTAGAAAGGAGTTTGGCACAGCAGAGTATGCATAGGAGTCACCTAAGAGGTGAGAAAGATTAGTGTCCATGGTGGTGGGGCCTTCCGGGGAGAGTGGACATGAGACAGATGCTGGCATACGGTAGTAATAGAGATAAACTGAAAGGCTAAAGCTGGTGCTTGTCCTCTCTCTATGCTTCCCAGGCTCTTGGCAGTGACTTCTGGTATGAGCTGGGGAGTTTTAGTCAAGCTGGTATATTAGCTCAGGGGCAAATAATATCAGTTGACAGAATCACCATGCTTGGGGTAGAAGGCCAGTGGGTGTGGGCTTTGAATGAAAGTTTAGTGTTAATTCTGTGACTAATGAGGATGTAACAGCCTCAGGGTGCAGCAGCAAATGGAAAAGGTTTGGATTTTTCTGATAGCTCCATGTGGTTCTGGATTGCTGAAGTTTGAATCAAGCAATAGGGCCAGGAAGGGAGGATTTAATAGCTGGCTTCAGAGATACCCATGGCAGTGGGTCAGATGTGATCTTGGATGCATTAATCAAGCATTCTCTGGATGCTGTGTATAGATCTGCACGTGGGAGATACCTGTATTGTGGGTGTCCATAGAGAGGTGTGATCCAAAGAGTGATAGTTCATGGACACAAAATCTGAATCTGCCTTACTTAAATTTGTGTATAAGAGGTGAAATATTTGCATACCAGGCCCAGACTATATAGTGTCTGTTTGTCCACCTGCCTCTTATTCTAGGCTGGACAGAAGATTAATGGGAAATGGGGATGAAGTTGAAAGCAATCATCAGGGCCTAGGACCTTGTCTGAGCTGGGGAGCCAGGGAGGAAAGTAAATATGTGGTAGATAGACCATGAGTCCTGGAGAGAGCTGCTCCCCCTGTGCTCCACTGCCCAAGTCACACAGGGTCATGTGATTTTTGAGGATGTGTTTGTGTACTTCTTCTGGGTTGAGTGGGCGATGCATGACAGTGCTGAGCCTTGTATCGATGCAGTGCTCTCTGTGCTCTGCACTGAATATTGGATTCCTGCTTACAGCCCCGCATCCCCGTTTTCTGGGCTGATTTTTTTACCTTCAGAGTTTGCTATTGGTGGACCATGGGTACTGCTATTTCCCCTCACTCCCTCCTGTGGGTTCTCTGAGTGCCAGGGCTCAGCTGTGTATACTCTCTCCTCCACTCCCTGTGCTCCCCAGATCCTTCTACCCTGAAAGTTTGAGGGTCAGAAGGCTTCTGATCAACCCAGTGGTTGCTACCCTGCTTGGCCTCTCCTTGGCTGGATGGCTCTGTCCACATTCATGATACCTCTATTCTCTGGATTCTGGTCCCTTCCTTTAATTAACATTTCCTTGGTCCTACCTGGGTCATGAATTGCAGTCGTCATTGCTTGTGGGGCCCACTGGGTTGTTGATGCAAGTAATTTCTGATGTTCACTTGTAATATTCAGTTCTCTTAATCTCTCATGGGTGGACTGCTCTGGGACACTGATTTCCCACTCACTTGCCTTGTCTTTCCTCTGTGACTTACCTTCCAGATCCTCTGTGGTTGCTGAACTGTAGCTGGGGACAAAGGTCTGTGTGCATGACTGAAGGGCCATGACTCTAGCCGTGGCAGGACGGGCTTGGACAGGCCCTGGTGAGTGGGAGCTTTGGGAGGGTGTGGCTTCGGGGCTGGGTTCATATGGCACCAAAAACTGTCCTATGCCCACTTCTGTTTAGTGCCCAAGTTCTAGGCTGTATCTCATTTCTGTATTGTCCTCACCATTCTGGGTACTACATACTTGTCATTCCTAGTCTCATCTCTGACCCAGGACTGTCCATCCCAATTTACTAGTACTCTAAACTGTCCCCTCTGCAGTGCTATCCTATGTTGGACAATGATAATGTGTCATGAGACATACACATAGTTTTTGAATACCAGTTACTCATTTTAAATCATATTTCACTGATTCTGAACATACATTTCTGTATACTTCCTCCAAGAGCCATGGCTCTTCTAAATTTCACTTGCAGAGGAGGTCCTGCCTACCTCTTATCCCTGAGCTACATCCCATCCCTTGTCTTCATCCTTTGTGAGGCCTTCCCCATTCTGTGACCCTTAGAGCCCAGTACTGCACACCAGCTCTTTCTTTAACCTGATCCCAGATGATTCTGCATCCCAACAATCCCATGTACTTAATCCTGGGTATGGTAGACAAATTTGTGAGGGGATTGCCCCCTCCCACCAAACTGAACATGCACATCGGCATTTTTTTCTTCCTTCAGATGGTTGGCATGGAGTGGAGGGTGAAGAAGCATCTTCAGAGCAAAGCATTACTGTGGGAGTGTCACACATTAGTACTTCTGAGCCAGGTTCGCTGACCCATACAGCTCACCCCTGTGACATATGTGGCCCTAAGACCTTGAAAGATATTTTGCACCTAGATGAACACCAGGAAACACGCCATGGACTGAAACCTTACACATGTGGGGCATGCAGTAGACAATTCTGGTTCAGTGCTAACTTTCACCAGCACCAGAGGCAGTGCCATGTTGAGAAACCCTTAAGAAACAAAGTCAAGACTTCATTTGTGAAGAATCTTAGAGTTTGTGAAGGACCTCACTTGTCAGAGAAGCCCTTTACATGTAAGGAGGATCAGAAGGATTTCCTGGCCAGTTTGGACAGTCACCAACAAAAGGCCACCCACAGGAAGAGGAAGACAAGAAGCACTGAGAGTGGGGAGGCCTTTCACTTTGGACATATGCATTACAAGTGCAGTGAGTGTGGGAAAGCCTTCAACCGCAAAGACACACTTGTCCAGCACCAGAGAATCCACACTGGAGAAAGGCCTTACGAGTGCAGTGAATGTGGGAAATCCTTCAATCGCAAAGCCACACTAGTCCAGCACCAGAGAATCCATACCGGGGAGAGGCCATATGAATGCAGTGAATGTGGGAAAGCCTTTAGCCGCAAAGACAACCTTACTCAGCACAAAAGAATTCACACAGGAGAAATGCCTTATAAATGTGGCGAATGTGGAAAATATTTTAGCCATCACTCCAACCTAATTGTACACCAGAGAGTTCACAATGGAGCAAGGCCCTATAAGTGCAGCAATTGTGGGAAAGTCTTCCGACACAAATCCACACTTGTTCAGCATGAGAGTATCCATACTGGAGAAAATCCTTATGTATGCAGTGATTGTGGGAAATCCTTTGGTCACAAATACACCCTCATTAAACACCAGAGAATTCACACTGAGGCAAGACCTTTTGAGTGCATTGAATGTGGGAAATTCTTTAGTCGTAGCTCTGATTTTATTGCACACCAGAGAGTTCACACAGGGGAAAGGCCTTTTGTGTGCAGCAAGTGTGGGAAAGATTTCATCAGAACCTCCCACCTTGTTCGGCACCAAAAAGTTCACACTGGAGAGAGGCCATATGAGTGCAATGAATGTGGGAAAGCTTATAGTTTAAGCTCCCATCTCATTCGACACCAAAAAGTTCACAATGCAGGGAGGCTTTAGGAGTGCTTTTAACCCACAGGACTCATGGAGAGTTATTCTGTGGTTACTCGTTGAGGAGGAGACATGCATCAGGTGTTGAACCTCATATATCTGAACATAAACCCTAGAGAGAGATCTTAGGAATGCCAGTTACAAGGGAAGCTGTCAGGGGCTGTGTGGCACTCTCAGGCCTTCTCAGGTTCCTTGCCAGATTTATCACTGTTGATGCCTATGGCTGGAACTATCTCAACTCTACCAGCTTAGTTACCCTAATATCCTCAGAGAAGACAGCCTTGTACTGTTTCTCCAACTGAGGAGGGACTTAGAAGAAACCCGAGTTAAATGGCAGTCCTTACTTCCTCCCCACTGACAGGTATGGACAGGAACCACCTTTAGCTATGAGGACCTGAGCTGTGTTTGGTAGTTTACAGAAAAGGTTTTATTCATGGATATTGTTGGTCTCCCTTGATACATGTGACAGATTTTTCCAGCCTCCAAGTCACCCAGCCTGAAGAACTGCTTGCCTCACATTTCTCTGCTTTGTGTGATAATAAAGACATTATTTAAGCTACTTTTAATCTGGGAGGTTCTTTTTACTGTTTAGAGTGGTTTGAAAACAATTACGTTCTGCCAAACTGAAAAGGTAAACAGTGTTTGGGGGGGCCTGCGACCTTGTGTGCCTCATGGAATAGCAGGCTGGTAGGGAACAGTTTTCAGTCCAGTTTTGAGGTTAATTTACATTGCTGACATAAGCTGCTTAGGTGAGAATAAAGGGCTTTATGGGCCTGCTTTTGTCTGGATTTAAGAGTTGAGGGCTCAGGCATCACACTGAGGTGATGGTGCTGTTGTGACAACCTGCAGTATGATTTGGAGCAACGTGGATTGAGTGTCATGTTTACAGTTTGCATCCCATATCCCCCAGCACTGAGGGGAAGCTCTTCCTCAGGTCCTGCCAAGTGCCAGACACCTGAAGGCTGGGATCTTGTACACAAGTCACTGGCTCTAAGACCTACTGTGTCCAGGAAGGAAACAAAATTGGTACAGAAACTCTGGGTGTATTTGGGACTGGGGAGACTGCAGCCTACAAGAGTGGGTGTGCCTATTGTAAGCATGTCCACAAACATGCCGGTCACTGGCTGTACAGTATCCAGGCGTATGGAAATCTCAGGACTTCCAGGACTGTGTCACTCTTAATGCCCAAGGTCAGAGGCAGAGCGAATAATATAGTTTTCCTCAATTCCTATGCCTCCCTGGGCTCTTAACCTCAATGTCTTTGCTTCATGGGCAAGAACTCTGGGACTGAGAACAAAGAGATACTGTGACCCAAGGATGGAGATTTATGACCAGCCAGGGATCCTGGTGACTCACTTAGAACAGAATTCATTTTTTGCCGGTGTTTCTTGCTACTGCGGAAAAAGTTCTCTTCACGAGGTGCTTGGCCTGAAATGGCAGAGTCGTGGGTTGATGCTCAATATTCAGGTTTTCCAGTAGCAATGGAAGGCCCAGATTTTTAAGTGGGACCACTTTATATAGATTGAGGTATAGTTAACGTGCAATAAACTGCACATACAGTGTGCACTTTGGTAAACCTAAACTTACATATACACGTAGGAAATAATCACCCACGTCATGATATCACATGACCCACAAAACTAATCTGCCCCTTCATAATCCCTCTCAATGCCTTTCCTAATACTTTCCCTCCCTTCCCTTGGCAACCATTGATTTATTTGCAATATAAACTTGTCTTTAAGGCTTTTAAGTGGAACCTTAAAAGTTAATTTGTATCAGTTTTTTCATGCAGCATAATTAGTTTGAGAGTCACCCATGTGTGTATGAATAGGTCATTCTCTTTATTGCTAAGTAATATTGTGCATGGCTATACCATGATTTATCCATTTATCTTAATTAGCATCCGGGTTTTCCCCAAATTCTAAATACTAGAAATAAAGCTGTTGCAGATATTCATGTGCAAGTCTTTGTATGGACATTTAGCTGAACATGTGTCCTATTTCTTCTTACTGATTGTAGTGAGAAGTGACCCAAGACTTGATGATTTGAGAAGTTAGCTCATCTTAGATGCTTATTGAGATTAAGAAATTCATGGTCAGGAAAGCCTGTTCTAAAGAAATAGGGGAGTGGCTACACAACCTTTTGTATAGTACCTCAGCAACACCAAAAGATCAGAGTATTCAGTCACAAAAATCTCTTTGAGACTAAGCAGGTCCCCTCAGCATAACCAAAGTTTCTAGGAAGCATAAAGTTGTCCCTCAACCATCTCAGCAAAAGCCAAGAATAGGAGATCATCTAGGAAAAAAAAATCTGTGGACTAACCTCATGGAGTGAATCTGGCATAGATAGACAGGAAACCCACAGAGTTCTTGTAAATTTTATTGTAGAAAAAAGATCTTTGGTCTAAAGGGACAATGAGGGCAGGAAGGTAAATTGTGTAGGACGACCTCCAGTATTTTACACATAGGAAACTGGCTGAAGAAACAACTGCAAGCCCTTGTTACCTTTCAGGAAAAAGGAATGTGGACTCATAATAGAACCCAGAGTACAGAGCTGTGATCCCAGTGGGCAGAGCTCTGAACCACAGATGATTTTCCCAGGCCTTAATTCCTAATGCAGTTTTTCAAGCTTGATATCAAAATTTCTAGGACTGGTGGCTCTTTTTTTCTTCTATTTTCTCCCCATTTGAAACAATGAATGAATATAACTTATCCTAGGTCTGTTCCACCATTTTAGGAGAAGAAAGCTTGTTTTTTAGTTTCATAGATCTGTGGATGCAGAGGATTTGTACCTGGGTGGGTCATACCCCGAGACTCACCCATATCTGATACTCTCTTGATCACTTAGAAAAGTATCCGGAACACAGTAGTTGCCTACTATGTGCGTGTTAAAGCAAAACACTGGATTCAGAAGAATTTTGTTTTGAAATACACGTTACCTTCTATATCACTTGCCCTCCTGTCTTAGGTAGTCACTGTCTTCCCTCCTGTGATAAAATACACTCACCAAAGTCCTCTGGCTGTAAACCATTCTTGCTCAGAGGATGTGTTATTTCATTCCCTCTGTTCCCATCCAGAGGGTCTTACATTCATCAAAAATCAGTTGATTTCTTACCCAAAGTCTTAATTCTAGTTTCTCTTCTTAATTTTACTTATGCCACTTGCTGCCAGCGGAATATGATTGCAAATAAAAGTTGTTATTTAAAAGATTCTTCATTTCAAAGCTCTGTAAAACATTTTAAAAATTAGGTCCTTACAAGAAAATTCTGAGTTTAAAGTGGGTGTTAAAAAGATAAATGATAAGAAATAACACATATTTATAACATTCTGTACTCAGAGTATTTTGAAATGTTTAGACTTCTTAAATAGTAATTGTGTTACTGCTCTTTAGCAACACCAAGGATGATACTAAATATCAGGATCCATAATAAAAATTTGAATGTATAAGCAATTATGGAAGATTATGTACTTTAGTTGTGAAAAATCTATTCTCATTTAATGTTTAATTTTTATTTTCATAATCATAGATGAGCATTTAATATGTATGTTCTCCTAGAATACTTGTTTATAAAAATTTGTTCAATTCTTTGTCTTTTATCAAACTGATGAATACTGGTCCTGAAAATTGTCAGGACAGCTTCCTCTGTTAATAGAATTTATATATTAAATATTTTAGTTGTGTTGCATTAAAAAATCTCTTTTAATATCTTTTTTTTTTAAGATGGTAAATTTTTTTGCCTCTTTTTTTTGGTATCATTAAGCATGTGGTTACTAGATTCCCCTCATTAAGTCCCCAGCACATACCCATTACAATCACTGTCCATGAGCATAGTAAGATGCTGTAGAGTCACTGCTTGTCTTCTCTGGGTTATACTGCCTTCCCCGTGCCCCCCCAACATTATGTATGCTGATCGCAATTCCCCTTATTCCCCTTCTCCCTCCCTTCGCACCCATCCTCCCCAGTCCCTTTCCCTTTGGTAACTGTTAGTCCATTCTTGGGTTCTGCGATTCTGCTGCTGTTTTGTTCCTTCAGTTTTTGCTTTGTTCTTATGCTCCACAGATGAGTGAAGTCATTTGGTGCTTGTCTTTCTCCACCTGGCTTATTTCACTGAGCATAATACTCTCCAGCTCCATCCATGTTGCTGCAAATGGTTGGATTTTTCCACTTCTTATGGCTGAGTAGTATTCCATTGTGTATATGTACCACCTCTTCTTTATCCATCATCTACTGATGGACACTTAGGTTGCTTCCTTTTCTTGGCTATTGTGAATAGTGTTGCGATCAACATAGGGGTGCATCTGTCTTTGGTATCCTTTCTTACAATATATTGCGAACCAAAATATGTCAAAATTGTTTTATGGTAGAACTGGGCTCAGGCCATCAGGCAGAATTCTTCCATGAAGAAAGATACTCTCCATCAGCTCAGTAGTTACCTAGAAAGGGAGTAGACAGTCTGTGCAGAAAAGGAAAGATCAATGCTTGGTACCATCCCCTTTATTAATGAATCTTGAGATTTTTTTCTTGAAATGTTCTAAGCTTGTCAATGTTGGATTCTTATTTTTATACTATCAGTAGGGACATATGACTTTTTATCTTGATGTGTTTCAGTTCATTCATAAGATACTTATCTTCCACAGTAAGAAACCTCTTCAAATCTGTGCCAGGCTGCTTTAAATATGACCATGTGTTTTATTATTTTTGTTACCTTTGCTACTGTCTTGTTTGAAAAAGTTTCATCCTCATCTTGTAAATTTTCTGTCCCAGGCTTGAGAGCAAGCTTCTTTTTCAAAAAGCTCTGGTTCCCTTTATGAGCAAATCATGTATGGAGTTGACAGCCTGAGTATAAGAGTGCTCATTACAACTAAACCCTCTCTGTGGAAAGATTTGTAAAAAATGTATTTGTAAAAGACGCTATTATGACTACACACTGATTCTTCAAAACAAATTTAGCAATATAATGGTTTTACGTGACTTCATGGGTTTTTTTGTTGCTGTTGTTATCATTAATCTACAATTACATGAAGAACATTATGTTTACTAGGCTCCCCCCTTCGCCAAGTCCCCCCCACACACACCCCATTACAGTCACTGTCTATCAGCGTAGTAAGATGCTGTAGAATCACTACTTGTCTTCTCTGTGTTGCACAGCCCTCCCCGTGCCCCCCCCTACATTATACATGCTAATCGTAATGCCCCCTTTCTTTATCCCCGCCTTTGTCCCTCCCTTCCCACCCATCCTCCCCAGTCCCTTTCCCTTTGGTAACTGTTAGGCCATTGACTTCATGGTTTTTACATTTATATTTTATTATTGCTGAAAACCTTATTTCCCAGTAATACTGTTTTTATTTAATTGTATCTTTTAAAACAGTTGCAATATTTTTTGTGATTAAAGACTGCAGTTTAAGAATTTTTTTTTTTGTCAGAGTGTTGTCTTTGATCTAGATCCCACTTGAGAGATTTGGTTAAAACTCGGGTGTTTTAAAGTGACTTAAAAACAATTTCTCTCTGCATTACACCAACTCTACCAATCTACTTCATGTTGGATCCATTTCCTTTTCAGTCCTGC